CCGTTGATGATCTTAGAAAGCACAGTAGACCGATCAGACGGTTTGCATTCCATATATGTCGTCCATAGTCCCGGCATAGTGTGCTAGTCTTCTTCTCGTTAGGCTTGCTGTTCGGATAGGAGTGATGGGCGTAATGAAAAGAGGCGACGCGGATTGCTAACGAGTTCCGCGGGTGTGCAAACGAATGTTAATCGTAGTTACCTGGAACGATGTCGGACGAGAGGAGAGGCGGAGGTCAACCTTGGTACGGCAGGCGGGTGCTCCCCGCCGAGGGGTAAGGAGGGGCTAAGCTGCTTACATAAGCTTACACCGAGGCTTTTCCAAATTTGGGCTCAAAGTCACAGTCGTCACGGTGACAGCTTACTCCGTTTTGGGATCATAATGCGCCATCATTTCATCTATTCTACACTCTTTTGGGACTTGTTTACCTTTTGAAACTCTGCATCGACATGCTCTTCTTCCAAGTAGTGGCGGAGAAGAGTCGCAGTTGAAGGCTCAAAGTGCGAATCAAAGACGACAAGTTGGCTATAGATTCTTAGTTTATTAAGGAACGGGATGACAAGACGGGCGTACCTTTTCCAACGCCCCAACTCGAGGGCGCCCAACCCCTGGCCGATAGCGGCCAAGTAGAGAGCTGGTATCCTCTCAGAAGAGACCAAATCAGACTCTCCTTTAGCTCCGAGTAGTGTCAAATCGCGGAGGATGATCATCATGGGGCCTTCTGGGAGTTCCTGTTGAAGACGCACTGCCGGAAACGTCGAAAGGCCCACCAAAAGTTGCGCCAACGAGTCCACTTGTCTATAAATAAAATGGTAAGTGAATAAAGAATCATGCCATGATATGATAAACAGCTCTCCACATGATCTGAACCTGGTTCAACAGACGAGCCGTTCTTCCTCTTTGGCCAAATTTCAACAACCAAGCATCCAAAGTGAGATGTTCTCTTTCCTCGCTCAATCTGTACTTTTCTTCTTTAGGGGTGAAAATGAACACTCGAGATGCTTCGATATCCGATTGTGCTTCCAAAAACGA